ACGGTTTATCTGATATCAAAGGAATTGCAACATAGAATATAATTAGGTCATTTTTATTGGTGACGTCTGCGTGTGCAACTTCATAATATTTTATAATGTTGTCGAAAGGTATTCGAGAGCTGGGGTCAAATTTCGAGATTATGGCTCGTAGCTCTTGATACTTAAATATACTGTGATGCATTATGTTTATTTCAGCGAAATTAATTGCCGTTTGTACATTGGTATGTGTCTCATGAATGATACGTAGATTATTTTCTAAGTCATCAAGTAAGAGAATAAAGTACGTCGTTGTTGTTTCAGACTGTGTTATTGTCATGAGTTCATTAACTCGGTTTAACAATGTATCTTGGTTACTTTTGATTGTATTAAATTGTGTATCAATATCTTCAGTCAATTTTTTAACAATTGTCTGGGTTGAAGATATGTCTTGTTGTAATGTATTTTGGTTTTCTTGGAGGGTTCTGATGTAAGTATCATAACGTTCTCCGTCATCAGCATCTAACGTGCCGTAGAGGTATTTTTGAGTCTTTCCTAAAAAGTTAAAAAGTCCTCTTTTGGTCCTTTTTTGTGGAGTTGTGTAATGATCGATAAATAATTCGATTGATTTTACTTGATCAATTAAATTATTTGTTCTTAGAATTAAGAGTTCGTATAAAGGTGTATAAGGTGACATAATACTTGAATTGCTTAGAGTTTGATTAACTTGCACAAGGGTTAATTTGGTAGACTCTATACAATCTTTCATATTAGTTAAATTAACATGGTAATAAACATGATGATAGTTGGTAATTATATAACTAGTTCCTTGGTAAACTGGTAGCAACGGTTTCGTTATTTCTTCGATGTAATATTGAGTATTGATGAGTAGCGGTAGTACTGTGAAGAATGCGAAGATTGTGAAGATTATCTTCATATTTTATTCCTGAAAATTACGATCTTCTTTTAATATCTTTAGGATGTCTTTGATTTTTGAATATAGCTTTCTTATACTTAGGTTGTATTTTTAAAGATAATTTTCGCGGTGTACTTATAAGTTGTGGTGTAGCTTCGGGTATTTCTGGGTCATTTTCAGGTTTTTCATTCAATTTACTTAATACATTTGCCTTTTTGGCATTCAATTTTGAATTAATTTTGTCATTAAGTTCCTTGAATGTTTGAGCAAGCTCATGAACGTAATCAGTTTGCTGATTTAGGTCTTTTTCAAAGTTTAATTGATAATTGACGTTTCCTTTTAATATTTGAAAAGGGGTGTAATCATGTGATGAATGAATACTGTTGTTATAGTTTAAAATTGCTATATCAATTAATTCTTGAATTGTTTTGGTACGATGTTCAATTAGTAAAGCTATAATGCTTTCTTTTATCGTCGAATGAAATCGTTCTATCGGCGAATTAGAGTTGGGGTTGTACGGTATTGTAAAATGCAATTCTATCTTATACGTTTTACAAAGGTCTTGTATTAGATTACTCTTGAAAGTTTGTGCATTATCGCTAAAATTACATATTCTTGCTGAGATGCATCGGCATTAAAATATCTGGCATAAAATGTATGAATTTGATTAATGAAAGTTTCCACACGCGTTGGCGTTCCATCAAATGTTTTTAGTAGAGTTACAGTAGATTTTAATGCTTCAGTAGCCATTATGCTGTTATTAAAAATTAAAAAAGTGGTCCTTAAAAATTATTTAAATCACTGGTTTCATTCAAATTTAATCTAAAGTTATGTAAAATATCTTCAGGTTCACTATAAAGTTCCTTGAAGGTTCACTTGGTAATTCTCTTATTAAACTGTGCCTTGAAATTTCTGAATAAATATCAGCAACTTCTAAGTTTCTAACTACTAAAGAATTGTTTGTTGAAATTTCTGAATATAGTTCAGTTAGTTCGTTAGTAAATACGAAACTATTCTTAAATAACAGGTTGTACGGTTATAAGAAACAATTTATGGATTACAACAATAAAGTTTCTAACCTTTTTCCTGTATCAGAAGGTACTTCGCTGGCGAGATAAACTAACCAGGTAGGTTGCCTCGTGTAGTGGACACTAGCTATGCCAATTTGTCCTTCTGGCTGTCAAAACGGCGTACCGATGAGTGACGTTGTGCCAGGAGCCTAAGTTGCAAAGTCGTAGATGTTCTGGATCCTTCTTAACTGTTGGAACAGACGGAGATGCTTCGCTGGTAATCCAATTAGTCACTGATAATCCAATTAGACACTGATAATCCAATTAGACACTGATAATCCAAAAGGAACCACTATCCGATCGCGTTACGAACTAGAACTTTTTTTTTCCAAAATTCGACACGAAAAAGGATCGCTTTGCACCGCCGGAAAGGATCCTACCGACTGCGCCAATTATATTAACTTAAATGCAAATTGTGTTTTTAAAAACTTTTATTTTTAATTAAAACACAAAGCTAACTTAAAGACTGATTTCTACAACGCTGCAAGGCTATATTTATAATAAAGATAAATGCTGCATAAGCAAAAGCTTGCAAAAACTCCTTAAATTAATAATGTGTCGTCAGAAGTGGCCATATAATTGTTGCCAGCAAAGGTAGATAAATTACAGTGAGGGAAATCGGTGAGGGAAGTCGAATAGGGAAATCGGTGAGGGAAATCGAAGAGGGAAGTGACACAAATAAAGTGTCACTTCCAAATTTTTGAAAAGTCAGTAATGCCAAGATTACATATATGATTGCAAATAATAGTATATTACATACTCCCTAATCTCGAGACAGAAATGAAAACTTTCCTCCGAGGTTTGTATACTATTTTATTTGCAAGCACACCATTAATTATGATTAGTCAGTCAATTTTTTTAATATTAAAAAGATAAAACAAACATGCCAAAATGTGTCATTCACTGCTTTGACGTTTTTACCTGACATGTTCTCATTGTTGCCAGCAAAGGTAAATAAATTAGAGTGAGGGAAATCGGTGAGGGAAGTCGAATAGGGAAATCGGTGAGGGAAATCGAAGAGGGAAGTGACACAGGTAAAGTGTCACTTCCAAATTTTTAAAAAGTCAGTAATGACAAGATTACATATATGATTGCAAATAATAGTATATTACATACCGAGTAGGGAAGTGTTTCATTACTGTCGAGAGATTGACTAATAATCTCGAGACAGAAATGAAAACTTCCCTCCAAGGTTTGTATACTATTTTATTTGCAAGCACACCATTAATTATCATTAGTCAATCAATTTTTTTAATATTAGAAAAAATAAAACAAGCATGCCAAAATGTGTCATTCGCTGCTTTGACGTTTTTACCTGACATGTTTTCATTGTTGCCAGCAAAGGTAAATAAATTACAGTGAGGGAAATCGGTGAGGGAAGTCGAATAGGGAAATCGGTGAGGGAAATCGAAGAGGGAAGTGACACAGGTAAAGTGACACTTCCAAATTTTTAAAAAACCAGTAATGTCAAGATTACATATATGATTGCAAATAAACTATTTTATTTTTAACCATATATGAAATGTTGTCATTACTGACTTTTCAAAAATTTGAAAATGTCACATTACTGTCTTTTCATTTTCCTGCTCCATTACCTGTCCCAGGACGGGAAGTGAGGACGGGAAGTTTTTTCCGTCCTCATTTCCCGTCCACGGACGGAAAATGGAGCAGGGAAATATTTCCCGTTCTCATTTTCCTCTTCATTTGGTTGCTCCGAATTTTTTTTTTTCAAGAAATTATGGTTAAAAATAAAATAGTATACAACCCTCGACGGGAAACTTCATTGCTGTCTCGAGGTTTAGTTTATCTCGACGCTACGCGTCTCGATAAACTATAAAACCTCTCGACCAGTAATGAAGCATTTCCCGTCTCGGATTGTAATATACTATTACGATACTAGATTTAGCCTCTGGTCCAAATGCATGAAAATTCGATACCCAAGACAGCATTAATGTTGAAAATGGTGATTACGAAATTAACAGAATGCCCTCTGGATTAAAGAACGCACCAGCATCCTTCCAAAGAGTGATTGATAATGTATCACTGCATGAACCCGTGAAAATTTCAAACAAAGTATTTGAGAAACTTGAGAAGTTTAATTTAAGATTACAATTAGACAAATCAGAATTCCTACATAGGACAGTCGAATTCTAAGGACTGTAATCACGCCAAATGGAATAAAACCTAATCAAAAAAAATAACGGCAATTAAAAAATTCCCAATACCAAATACGGTGAAAGAAATAAAATCATTTTTACGATTAGTAAGTTATTACCGAAAATTCATAAATAATTTTGTCAAATTGACCCAACCAATGACATCTTGTTTGAAAAAAGACAAAAAAAATAATACAGAATGCAGATGCCTCAAACTATGCAATTGGAGCTGTTTTATCTCAAGGTCCTGTCGGAGCTGATCGAGGAGCTGATCTTCCTATTGCATTCGCATCTAGAACTTCAAACATAGCTAAATGTAATTATTTGACGATTGAAAGGGAACTTTTAGCAATCGTATGGGCAACAAAATTTTTTCGACCTTATCTTTTTGGTAGAAAATTCACAATTTAGTCAGATCACAAACCCTTACAATGGCTATTTAATGTTGAAGAACCGAGTTATAAATAAGTCTGAGGCAACTAAAATTATCTTAATTTGATTATGAGATCAGATACGAAAAAGGAACATTGAACATGAATGCAGACGCACTATCAAGAATTCCTGCAATACAACTTCATGCCATTCACAAATCAGATCCAGATGCCGGATTAACATTAAGATGGAGATGAAATCAGCAAAATAATTTATAGACTCTAAAGTATATCCTCCTGAATAAAGCGAGAAAGCTAAAGAAAAAGAGATAACAAAGTCTGAATTATCTCAAGCAACAAAAACAGCATCAGAAAAAGAACCTGAAGAGGAACCTGAGAAAGAAAGACCCAAAATAAAAATATTATCCCAACTAATAATACCTCCAAGAAAAGAGAAGATAGAAATTCCCATAGAAATACGAGAATCTTCAAAAACTTAGAAAGTATACAAATAACTCCTTCGGATCAATGAGCTGTATACGAAACTATCTTTTAAATTACGCAAAAGCTCATTGATTTATTTTTTAGTTCGCGTAATATTGAAGTCCAAAGTTAAACTAAAAATTCCCTTGTTTTGCTTCATTTGTCCAGCAGTTTATAAGCATTTCTAGCCTTGTTCTCGTGAACTTGTAACCGAAATGAATTAAGCATGTAACCGAACCGAAAAAACAAGAAGAAAAAATACATTTAATTTGTTTAGTGAACATGAGTTCATAGACAGGTTTTTAATAAGTATCTAATGGTTTTTTATGAATCAATCGGTCAGAAATCTGGTAAGCTATATTTGTTAAAGTATTAAAATATCTCAATTTGCCCAACATTGACATTGATCTTTAGGTACTCTCATTAATACTAACAAATCTTGATAAAAAACTTAATTTCAAAATGAGTTCTTTGAAGCATATTTGAAAATTAATATTTGCAATCTTCAAGCATTAAAAGTAAATTGGAATACATAGGCAAAGCGGTTCTCAATCGATTGTGTTTCTTTTCTTTTAGCAAAATTTATTGAGCCCTGCAGTAAATCAGCAGCGGATTTCCAGAAGTGCTGCACAGAGCATGGCAACAAAGCCCTACCAACACTTCTACCAGGAGTTAAAGAACTGAATATACCTAAACTGAATCCCTACTATCTAGATAAAGTCGTAGCTGATGCAGGACCTAACCTAAAAATTACCCTTACCAATATAGAGTTGCAAGGTGTGGATACACTGAAGGTGACTGACATGGAGTAAGATATTTGATATTGCCAGAGTTCTAGTATTCTAAAATAAATAATTATTTCCAGTGTTGATTTTGATAAAAAAACAGTCTACATTGCCTTACATGCGGAACGTGTTATGGTGATAGGAACATATGATATTGATGGTAAAATTCTTGTTTTGCCAATTAGAGGAAACGGTCCAATAAATGTTACAATTGGTAAGTTCAATATTGTCGCGAAAATCTGTCGAAAGCGCCACGGTGGGTGTACAGAATTGGACAGCTGATTCTAGATTTTGCAGTGCTATTCGGGAGAAACGGCTATCGCGTTTATTCTGGATTTTACAAGAATGCTTTACGGATATACAGTGTGTCCGCCTAAGTTCGCAGCATATGGGAAACTTTTTTATTATCAATTTTACGAAAAAAAGTTATTCCTTATAAAAGTTTCTGCTTCTCGAAAAAATAATATTTTACTACTAAAACTTGAAATAGCATCTACAGGGTGGTCAAAAAATAGAAAAATATACAGCGTGTTTCCTGAGTACGATTCGTAACTTCAGGATGTGATTCCTTACAATATTTTGAGAAAAAAACTTCCCATATACATGTGTCCGGAAGGGCATAGTTTCTGAGATACAGGGTGTCAAAGTTTTAGAAAAAATCGTTTTTTTAGCTCAAAAATCCATTTTCCAATTTTTTTTCAAATTTGGCAGGTCTGTTTGTGATAACGAAAGGTATCTTTTGACTTTAATATGACTGGCTGAATCTGAAAAAAATATGAAAGGTTTTAAAAAATAGTGACGTGCCATTTTTTTCTACTTTTACTGTTTTTTATCAAAAAATTCTGTATATTTTTCTATTTTTGGACCACCCTGTACATGCTATTCCAAGTTTTAGCAGTTTAATATTATTTTTTCGAGAAGCAGAAACTTTTATAAAGAATAACTTTTTTTCGTAAAATTAATAATAAAAAATTTCCCATATGCTGCGAACTTAAGTGGACACACTGTATAAAGGCCGGTATTAGTAATTTTAAGTTCAAGATTGGCTGTGATATGATTTAGATAGTGAATATTTAGACCGGTCTGGTTTGTATTCCCGTTTGCTTTTTCGGTATGCAAGCAAGCGGTTTTTTTCAAAGGGTTTCTAATGCACCAAGGTGTAAGGTGTAACTTTTCAGTCGGGATGCTATAAAATGTGTCAGTGTCGCGCAGCTGACGTGAGTGGCAATACCTTATGTTCAATTATTATTATTTTTTAAATATAGTTGTTTAGTGGTATGGTTGCTAAATTTGTCCGTATTTTGTCTTTGTTCATGTAAGACACTAGAAAAGGAAAAAACAACCACGAGATAGATCATAGACTGCGCATGCGTATAATTTATTGTTGAAAATCACTTATTTATAACATTTGAAATGTTTTAGAATATACAGGCTAAGCTGTCTCTTCATCTTCGTCATCGCTACTTGCTTCGTGGTTTAGCTTTTTATAGATTCATTGTTTTCACATTCATTTCCTTGACATGTACAGATAAAATTGTCTTTGCTTTTGTTACAAATTAACGCCTGATAATGAGCTCGTTTCAAAGCGCTTATCAAAGAAAGTCTGGTTGGTGGTAACATGCCGTGTGTTAGCGGCTTCTCGGAAAAAAGATTCCTCCATAGAATTTCTTCAATGTCCGCTGAAGTAATTTTGGGTTTTTATCGGTGAACGATGATTTATTTCAAAGAGATTCAAGAAGAGTAAGTAAAATAGAATCTTCAGCATTCTAAAAGACTTTCCGAAATGTTTTCTTTTTATAAGAACTTTCGGTTGTATCACATCCGGAAATAACGTGAAATCCTAATAATGCTGATGTTCTCGCTGTTTCAAGCTTGCAAGCTATAGGTGATGAAGCAATAATTCTTGATTATTCTCCTATTCTAGTGTGAAGATAAGTTCCAAATCCAAGTTTGTGAGGATTTGTTTATATATTGTAGATTGCATTTGCTGATGGAGTCGTTAAATCTTGTTCCAGCCGCTCAAGCACTGCTACCTTTCTAGATATTTTGTGCGTAACTCGTCTTCTAGTTGGTGTCCAAAATTTGTAGGCTTCTTCCGAAGAAGGTCAGCTTCCTGGTTGGTAATGTGCCCACCTCTTGGGGTGTTAGCCGTAATCCTTCAGGGTATTACAACCTTTCGCAGAAGTGCGCAGGGCATTCACAAATTAAATTTTCTGCAAATTCTGGTTCTTGTTCCCAAGATCTACAAGGGTCTTTGTCTGAGTTGCCTATTGTTTATAGATTTAGATTTCACCAGGCAATGACCAGTAAGCAGACCAACGACTGTTCTAACTGTTCATGTCAGGAAGCTGATCTCCCTGCTGAGATGGATATGAACCTTGTATAATATTTCGCCTATACCTATTTACAAGCCAACGCATTTATCGATCGGTTAAATGTTATTTCACGCATTTTTGTTCATCTCTTTCTCTATCACTAGAAGAATGCGGTTTGTAAAGTAGTGGGGAAGGGTCTCGCTGCATTCTTTACTCTCTTTGTCAAGGTTTGAAGTTCCAAGCGTGCTCTAAAAGAAGATTTAAAACGATAAATACGTCGGGCACAATTTAGTAATTTAATAAAAATAAAAATAGTTTCAAGTGTATTTAAATTGTTCATTATAGACCCTGAGATAGGGCCTGTCTAGTGGATTAATTTTTTTTTTGTCTGGCATTTTGAGGGATGAATGTGGCTAGTTAGCTGATGAGAATATAAGTGGTTTCAATGCTTGCCCCCTGTTCGAAATGTCCACAGAATGTTTGGCCGGAAAACTCGATTTCGAACTGCAATTCTTCAGCGTTATTTTCACAACAAAACCTTTTATTCTCTCGATTGCCAGACAAAAAGTAAGCGCGGAAGGTTCTTTTCTCTTCTCTTGGAAGTTGACACTCATCCTCACTTTTTCAGCTATTGAAAAGCATCTGGTATTTTTCATAGGTGAATTATTTATCAATGTCAATCTTTTATTTAAAATCTAGAAAATTTGAGATCATTAAAAAAAAAATCTTCATGTAAATCAATTTTTTTCTTCTGCAAATTTTCGAACGGGAGGCAGGCATTAAAATCACCCATATTCTCATCAGCTTGGTAGCCACATTTATCCCTCAAAATGCCAGACAAAAAAAAAATGACTCCACTAAACAGCCCCTATCTCACAGTCTATTAGTTCATCATATAGTTTATAAATGACTTCTTCACCTAAATTGCCAAAATACCTGTATCCGGCGATCGAGTGAAAAATATAATATTTACAGTCCACTCTGGAAAATTTGGAATTATCCAGCATTTAAGTAATTACAATTAGTAATTACGACGCCAACTAGGACTACAGCTTGTGTTAGGCTGGAAAGTGATGTGTTGAATCGTATGGATAATATGGAAAGAAGGAACCACTGAGATTAGATCAATCTTTTATTCAACCATACTCTTTAATTGAAGAAGTTAAGCAGAGGGAGTCTCACATTTCAAATAAATAAATAGATAATTATGTAGATATGGTTTCAATAATAGGTAACAATTTAAAAAAAAATCTACTTCGAATGTCACATGAGTTTTGTGTTTTAACTATCCATTGATTGTTGAAATAAATATTACTTTATAATTTAGAAACAAAACAAATTAAAATGTCGCCAATCGAAGTAGTATTGAAAGAACTGCAAAACGCGATATTACAAAAGGAAAATTAACTAGGTTTGAAAATTATGCTAATTCTTTTGACTCAGATAATTACACCGAACTACAGGTAAGATTTGAAAAATGTGTCGGCCTACTCGGAGAGTTTGATCTTTATCAAAATGATATTGAAATGTCGGTTGCACTTGTTGATATTCAAGTACAGGAGCAAACTAGAGTGGATTTTGAATCACAATATTTCGCAATAATAAGTAAAGCAAAGAAAATGTTGAGCTCTGATGAAATTCGTGGAAATTTGTCTGGTGAAACGTCAAGTCAGGGCTATTCTAGTAATCAAGGTGACCGGATGGGTCATAATAGCAACAATAGAGCAAATGTTAAGCTGCCACAAATAGAATTGCCAACATTTTCTTCTGGTTATGACCAGTGGTTAGGGTTTCATGACACATTTGACGCCTTGATTAACAAGAATGAGTATTTGCCTCCTATCGAGAAATATTACTATATTCGATGTTCTCTCAAGGGAGAGGCCGCAAATGTTTCTTCTTTGGAAGTTTCTGGTGAAAACTATGATGTCGTATGGGAGCTACTCAAGAGTCATTTTGAAAAAAAAAATTAATGATACATGTTCATATTGAACATGTATCATTAATTTCTATAATAGGTTCACAATTATCTATTGCCACAAATCTTGATGAGGATAATAGAGCAAATAATATAGTTGCAGATAGGTGTCCTGTTTGTAGCTCGCAATATACATTACTCTTGTGCAAAACATTTAATAACATGCAAACCAACCATGCAAAAATATAATACACTGCGCAAAATAAACATTGCTCAAATTGCCTTAGGTTTGCTCACAATAATTTAAAATGTAGTTAAAATTTCATTTCTTGTTACAAGTTTAAGAGGCTCCGCTCCATCATACTTCTTTACATGACCAAAACTTCTTTAATAATTTCCGAGCAAATACAAACACGAATAATCCAAGCAACGCTCAATCTCCAATCAATATTGGTCCAAGCACGTCATCAAATTCTAATTCAAATCAAGGCCATAATTCTGACTTGAATCGTCAATTGAATGCAAATGAATCACGAAATATGTCAATTACATCAACATCACAAAAAAATATATTTTCTGCCATTTCTGCTCACATATGGAGCAAATATGATTCCCAGATTATTTTAGCCACTGCTTTCATACATATTTATGACAAATTTGGAAAATTACATGAAGCTGGGGCTCACGGTCTCAGTCAAATTTTATTACAAGGAAACTTTGCAATCTTTTGAATTTGCCTGAAGAGGGCACGCAATATACAATAATTGGCGGATTAAATCATACTTCAATACTTCTACTCAAGTTGAAGCAAAAATAAAATCAAAGATTTATAATTATTAATCCAGCTTACCATTTTTTGTTTTGGTTGGCATAGCATTCCGCTTACCTCAAACAGCAATCATTACATCCCAAATCAATATAGGTACCCAATAATAACATTCTGGCAGATCCCAAATTTTATATTCCTAGAAAAATTGACAT